TGTTTGATTCATATGAAGTAGTACATGATCAGAATTGTTACATAACAATACCTGATGGTACAAGAGTTAAAGTGACCCATATAAGAACAACTGTTCTAAGCAACAATATTACTTTGAAGAATGTTTTATATGTTCCAAGTTTTCAGTTCAATCTGATTTCTGTGCACAAGTTATGTCAAGATGGAGGTTATACAATTCAATTTACTACTGATCAATGCATTGTCCAGGATCAGAAGTCTTTGACACATCCACTTGTTCTTGGTAAAGTTGGAAATGGTCTCTATTTCACAGAAGGTCCTAATAGGGTTGCTGCTTCTGCATCAAATCCAGGTTCTGTTTCTTCTCATACTGTATGTCAGTCTTCTTTAGAACAAGTTAAATTGCTGCATCTTAGGACAGGACATGTTCCTTTCACTAATATGAACATGATTCAGAATAATATAGATTGTAAGAAGTTGGGGAATGAGATCATATGTAGTATTTGTCCTGCAGCAAAACAACATAGGAAATCATTTCCCAGTAGTTCTATCAAAACTACATATCCTTTTGAGATGTTACATGTTGATGTGTGGGGACCTTATCAAAATAAAACCCATGATAATTGTAATCTTTTTCTCACTATTGTTGATGATTACACAAGAAGTGTTTGGGTACATTTGATGAAGTTCAAGACTGAATCTGTTGATATTTTAGTCAATTTTGTCACTTTTGTTGAAAAGCAGTTTGAAGTTTCAGTCAAAATTATTAGGACTGATAATGCAAAAGAGCTTTGTGAAGGAAGGGTTTTACTTTTGTATAATGGGAAAGGAATTTTACATCAAACTAGCTGTAGTGACACTCCTTAACAAAAAGGAGTTGTGGAGAGAAAACACAAGCATCTTCTTGAAGTTGGGAGAGCACTTTATTTTCAATCCAATCTTCCCGTGTCTTTTTGGGGAGAATGTGTTCAGTGTGCAGCTTATCTGATCAACAGGATACCTTCTCAAGTCTTGGGTAATCTGTCACCATATGAAAAGTTATATCACAGGCCACCAAATCCTGAACATCTCAGAGTATTTGGTTGTTTGTGCTATGTTAGCACAACCAGACAGCACAAAAGCAAATTTGAGCCTAGAGCTGAGCCTTGTGTATTTGTGGGCTATTCTCCTACTCAGAAAGGTTATAAGGTGCTTCATTTATCCAACAGAAAGATTTCAGTTTCCAGGGATGTTGATTTCCATGAAAAACATTTCCCTTTCCATATTTCTGTCAACCCACAATCTAAACCTACCCCTTTCTTTTTACCTACTCACACACCTATCCCAAATCCTTTTCTTGCTACTGAAGTTCCAGACATTTTCCATATCCCAAATAACTCTTCTCCACTTCAAATTCCACACAGTCCTGTTCCCAATAGCCCTATTTCTCCTTTTTCTGACCAGTTTTCTTCCAATTCTGATTCACATATTTCTTCTTCTTATTCTCCTTCAACTGTTGTTGATTTATCCCATGATCTTTCTGTTTTACAACCTCCTTCCCAGACTGTTAGGCAAAGAAAACCACCAAAATGGATGGGTGATTATTTCTGTGGGAATGCCATTGTGTTCACAGATCATTGGTGTAACTTAGTTTCCCACTCTTCTTTTTCTTCTGACCACCAGGTTTTTATTTCTCAGTCCATTTATATTAAGGAGCCATCTTCTTACAAAGAGGCTGCAGGTGATCCAAATTGGGAGGCAGCAATGAAAAAGGAGATTAAATCCCTTCTTGATAATAAAACATGGGATTTGGTGGATTTACCTTCTGGGAAGAAACCTATTGGCTCTAAGTGGGTTTTCAAGATTAAACTGAAGAAAGATGGAACTATTGAAAGGTTCAAAGCTAGGTTGGTGGCTAAAGGCTTTAACCAGAAATATGGTGTTGACTTCGAGGAAACTTTTTCCCCAGTTGTTAAAATGGCAACTGTTAGGGGTTTGATTGCCTTGGCTGTTCATAGAGGTTGGACTATCTTTCAACTAGATGTTAATAATGCCTTCTTACATGGTGATTTGATTGAAGAGGTGTATATGAAGGTGCCAGATGGGGTTCCTAATCCTGGAAATAAGGTGTGCAAACTCAGAAAGTCTCTATATGGACTTAAACAGGCTAGTAGACAATGGTTTGAAAAGTTAACAGTTGAGTTGATTTATCTGGGATTTGTTCAGTCAAAGAATGACTATTCTCTCTTTGTCAAGTGTTCTGGCCAGCATTCTACTCTTGTGGCTGTCTATGTGGATGATATTATCATCACGGGCACAGATGTTTATCAGATTAGTGCTTTAAAGCAACATCTGCATGTTACTTTCAGCATCAAAGACTTGGGTGTTTTAAATTACTTCTTGGGCATGGAGTTTGGTTACACTGGCAGTGCTGTTATTCTTTCTCAAGCAAAATTTACTAGGGAGCTTCTTGCCGAGAGTGGTCTTAAGCCTTTCAAACCTGCAACAACTCCTTTGCCTCTACACTTAAAACTCAGTACTGATGATGGTGATCTTCTACAAGATCCTCACTACTATAGGTGTATTGTAGGAAAATTGAATTTTCTGACTCATACACGACCTGATTTGGCCTTCACAGTTCAATGCTTGAGTCAGTTCATGCAAATGCCAAGATCTTCTCACCTACAAGCTTTGACACATACATTGAATTATGTTGCCTCAACTGCTGGTCAAGGTATTATTTTCAAAGGTGGTATGGATCTAAGATTGCAGGCCTTTTCAGATTCTGATTGGGGGGCTTGTGCTGATACAAGGAGGTCGATTACAGGATATGTTATGATGCTGGAATCTTCTCCAATCAGCTGGAAATCTAAGAAGCAGCCTACCACTTCTAAGTCATCCTCAGAAGCTGAATACAGGGCAATGGCAGCTGCATCTTCTGAAGTTGCTTGGTTAGTCAGATTGCTGGGTGATTTTGGTGTTACCAATCTGAAGCCTATTACTTTGCACTGTGACAATCAGTCTGCCTTGCATATTGCAAAGAATCCAGTCTTCCATGAGAGGACCAAACACATTGATATTGATTGCCATTTTACTAGAGACAAGGTACTGGAGGGTCTTATTCAGCTCACATATCTTCCTACTTCTTCACAGTTGGCTGACATTATGACAAAGATTCTGCCTTCTCCTCAGTTCAACCTTCTGAAGTCCAAGCTTGGCATGTTTGATACACCCCAAGTTTGAGGGGGGATGTGAAATAATACCCACTGCCACGCCAGCACAAGTGCCAGCTCAGCAGAAAGTTAGTTACAACCATTTAATTCTGTTACTGATATTTTGTAATGGACAGAGCATTTATAAGCTATTGTCATAAGCTTTTCTTCATTAATTCAATTCCCTTAATAACAAACTTCTCTCTCTTCATTTTCTCTCTCTATTTTTCTTACTGTAAACCTTGAACTCCATTAATGGCGATCAATGGATTTCTTCTTCTCTGATTTTCATATATAGCAATTTGTGCTTACTTTTCTTCTCAATAACACATAACAAGAGATGAGGCTGATTTTTTGTTTTGGTGATGTGAAATATTTTTGGGATTTGATTGTTGTGGTGGAATCATGAAATCTGTTTCAATAGAGCTCATGATCGATGTGGGATTATTTTGAGATAGAGAAACAAAATGAAATTGGTTGACTTTGAAAGTTTTCAAATTTGAAGAGATGTGCATTCTTAGCTTGTAATACTTTATGTAACATGGAAGTTAATAAACTAAATTAATTAAAGGCATGTAAGAGTTAATAAACCTTATTTTAGTAGTTAGTGAAGAGTGCAAGAGGCAATAGAATAATAGATTATGATTATCTTATAATATATCTATCTTAATAAGTACTCCTTATTGTATTGTTTTAGATATTGGTACTTGAAAACAAACGAAAAAAATTAAGCAATGATTCTTTGATTCTTTCACAGATAGGATTTTGTTAATAAAATGTTAAGCTATGTCTAAAACTTTGCAAATTGGATGCTAAAATAACTCATTCACTTCTATGCTACCCTTTGCTATACAAGCATCAATGGTGTCGCGTTGCAATTGCCATTCCACATGCAACGCCAATACAAGAGCCAAACTTGCAGCCAATTACAGAACAAGTGTAACAACAACTGCAACAGAAATGCCTTTAACACCGGCAGCAACGAAATAAGGCCTTCGATGATATCCGTTTTCTCTAGTCGTAAGTTTGCATCCTATTTTATCAAATGGACATCTCACGTAAGAACTTTGATTAATTATGTAGGCAATGATAATGTAAAGCTACCCCCAGAGACACACAGACTTATAGGTAAGTCGGCTTAAAATTGTAAAACTCGTGTCATAGTAGTATGCATAAGTTCAACACTGTGAGCATAAGAAAATTTATTTCTCTAATAAAATAAATGTTAGAGAACGAGATACAAAATATACCTTTATCTGCTCGTAAAACTTAGGGCATGTTCTCATTGACTGAACTCACTTGAACTGAATTTATTAGAGCTGAACTGAATATTTTACGGAGCATAAGAGAAGGAAATTAGGAACTGAACTAAACTGAAAATAAACGTATGAGAACGGGCCGTTAGGCTAACCAAATGAGCTACCTAAAGAACTTTTAGTTGGCTTGAAATCGTAAAACTCGTGGCACATTAAGTATACGATGATGGATTTTCTTAACTGACATATTGTTGAGGTGCATCAACACATGAAGTTTGTTTCAAAATTTCACTCTCAGAATAAAGCTTTTTCATAACATAAGTAAATTCCATGATTATTAATTAAGTTGATCAAACCGAACTGAAATTTCCATTACATTCAAGAATAAATCAGCAATTCATGGATGAATTTCAGAGTTCATAGATTATTCCAAAACATGCTTAGATTGCTTACATATCCATTGAGAAACCAACAACCATAATCATGATTTATTGTAGTATTTTTTTTTAATGAAATACCAATGAAATTGAAATTCACACACATATACATACATGAATACATATCATTTCCCAAACTCAACATTCAAACTATATGAAGTATATAACACAAGAAAAAAGAACTGATAATGGCAAAAATTAACCTAAACACAACAATATCAATCAAAGAATATAATGAGAAAAAAAAATGAAATCATAAAATCAATAATATCTAGTACTAAAAACAGTGCTCTTCCTCAAAACACTACTATTACCACTCTTCTTTGCAACCTTATTTTCACCATTAATAGCATTAGCAGCAGCAATTGACAAACCCTTCAATTCATCAATACTAGCATAACTCTTTCTTCCCATACTCATCAACTTCCCACTGCTCTGTTTTTCCCCTGAATTCACAGATTTACTTCCAATACCCCCTAATTTACTCCCACTTCCCATCATTTTCTCCCTTTTCGACATCGATGGCGGAGGTGTTGCGCTCTTCTCAAACCTCGGAATCCGATTCTCAGACGGTTTCCGATTCTCTTTCCTTAATGCAGAAGAAAAATCAGGCACTGATTGAGCCAAAACAGAGTACCCCTGTTTTTTACTGTTACTCTGTAAATTCCCCTGAAACCTTAAATTCTTCTTTGCTGGTGAAAATTCTGATCTGGGTATCTCTAAAATCTGTTCTTCTTCCTTGATTCTCTTACTTTTACCCAGTAAATTCCCCTGAAAACTTACATTTTTCTTCGCTGGTGAAAATTCTGACCTGGGTATCATCTCCAGAAATTGTTCATCTTCCTCAATTTTTTTACAGTTACCCAACAAATTCCCCTGAAATATGACATTTTTCTTCTTTGCTGGTGAGAATTCTGACCTGGGTATTTCCAGAAATTGTTCATCTTCCTCAATTTTTGTACAATTACCCAGTAAATTCCCCTGAAACCTGACTTCATTTTTCTTTTCTGGTGAAGAATCTAATCTGGGTATCTCCAAAAACTGCTGATCTTCCTCAAATTTGAGTCTTTTTGATCGGAGATTTGATTCTCTGAGTTGAGCGTAGGCGTTGTATCTAGGCCCACGTTCCATGAAGTAAGGATCAGTAATTAATTGAAAAGAGTTATTGCTTGGATCAGAATAATGAGAAAGAAGTAGGGTTTTTGGATCAAGGGTTAATGTTTCAGCCATTGATCGATCTAATTGTTTGAGTAAATTTGCTCTGTTTTTTCTGGGTTTGTAAAAATGTGATTTTTTTTTCCTTTCCAACGGTCGAATTTTGACGAAGAGAGAGAAAAGAGAGGAGAGAGAAAGTTGAGTTTTTTTGGGGGTAATGATGTGTTTGGGGAAAAAGATTGTTTGTTTAATCAATAGAGATTTGGTTATTCTAACGTTATGATTTTGTGATTGGGACCTTGATTTAGGGTCAAAAAAGAGTACATGAATGATCGGTGCAATTTCAGCCGTTGGATTTGGAGGAAGTCTAAGAGCCGTTTTGTTGATCAAAGGTTGTGATTTTATTGTGAAATTGGATTCTGGCATGGTGAGGAATTAGATGATGGTTTCTGCCACGTGGTTACTTTTTAGGGCTTTTTTACGTCTTTCCTGTCATACAATTTGGTAAGAGAATTTTGTTGTAAAAAAAATACGGTATTTTATACACCAATATATTGGAAATTAATACTCGTATGATATATTATATATGACGGTACGTTTTTTATATAAGGTAAGAAAAATAATCATTAAAAGACTCTACTCGGAAATTTTTTTATGTATCAAAGGAAAGAATAGGAAATAGGTTAAAATTAATTTGCTTCTCAATAGATGTGAAATTGAGTTATCTAAGAACGAGTGTGCTTGATAATATGCTCGATTCACCTACTCAAATACTTTTTATTGAGTTGATATCTAAAAGGTTATCACCTTCAATTTAAATATTCTGAACGCCACATTGGAGAAATGGAGAGATAATTAAACTCCTTTATGATAGAGTTGTTGCTTCTACTATGAATATTTTGTGTTGCTGAGGTTGAACGTAGATGCTTTAACAAGTACTCCACTATAATCGATGAAAACTCCTCTTGTTATTGAGCTATTGTAAACCAAACTATCAACTTTGGAGAAGTTGGGAGACGTCTTCTATTATATTAGAATGGATGATTGCACATTATGTATAGTCTGATTCTAAGAACTATAAAAAAAAAAATAAAAAAAAAAAATACTGTTGTAAGTATATACTCCTTCCGAGTTTTCTATTATTATGCACTTAAAATTAATAATGTGCTGTCAACAAAAAAAAAAAAAAAAAATCACAACTACAACTACTAATTTCAACAAGTTTAATTCACAACAACTGTATTAATTACAAGAAGTTAAATTCACAAAATCACAACTACAAGTTTAAATAATTTTAGACAAGTCAAATTTGGTTCATTGGTTGCATTATTTAGGACATTTATAAACAGAAATTTGGTATTCTAGTGATGAAGCTAAACAAATCATTTCAACTAATAGTGTTATAAAAGTGAGTGCCAGGACTTAACATCTCTACAAATCTTACGTGAGGGAGGCCAAAACAAGTAAGATTCAATCTGTGCTCTACTGAAGACCATATGTACGCTGGTTGCCAACACAACTCAAGCTTTACCCAGAAAACTCGATGCAGAGCGGAGCAGTCAATTACTAATTTCAATGCAAGGAACTCTTAAATCCTTTGAACAGGACTAGAAGAACCCATATATGTCGCCTTGGCCATTAAGACTCGAGAGTGACACAATTTGTACCTACATGGATAATTTGTTGGATTTACACTTCTTCCTTCAGACTTTGTGATACTTGTACTTCTGCCCAAGATTAAATCTCGTAATACTTCCCGTAAATCCACTAAGCACTAAGGTTCTTACAGCCTCAACACCTTGTTCCAAAGCAGCATCAATCTGTCCATTTAATTTAGATACACTCAAAACAATTAGTTTGTTAGTAACTGACACAGTTGACACTTAAAACTGCATGATGATGTGATGAACCCAAATATAGCTCCACCTATTCGGGTCTACCATCGTAGGGGTAAGGTTGACAACCGTGGTCAAGGAGAGAATACCGAGAAGAGCAAGGAAGCAGAAACAGGGGAGGGATGAGCAAGGGGTCAAACACAACAAAGAGCTAAAGACAAGAGTAATTAAGAGTAGAAGAAGGAAAGAAGAACAAGCAGCTTCAATTATGTTATGTATGGTTTTTCTTAAAGTAGTAATTAAGTCACATGTGACTCCTAAGTAGAAGTATAAGTAATGTAGTAGTATGATTAGTGAAGGCATCCAGAAAATTGTAAGGAAACACTAGAGAGTAGCAACCTCAAGTTGCCGGAGATTGGTAACCTCAAGTTACTTCCGTTACCCCTTTGTAATCGTTCACTTTAATTAATCAACAAGAATCAAGCCTTCCTACTATTTATTTATTACAATTAATTACTAATCTCCGGTGACCGGAAGTCGGTTCATAACAGATGATTAATCAGTGATAATTCTTTGTTGGTCTGAAGACATATTTTTTACATTAAGGGTCTCCCTCTCTTCAGTTTGAAGTAAACACAATAAAACATGTATCATTGACTTTGTGATGACTTTTTTGCACTAGAAAACCAACACTTGAACATACAAGCTGAGTTTCATGCTGTTGACATATCCAACTTCCAAGTTCTCAAATTTACATGCGAGAATAACACCTTTTGAAGGATTGCTTACCTGTCTTCTTTCTATAGGACTGAACTTTTGTAGAAGAAAAGCTTTCATATCCATATTTCCCGGAGGATTCCCGATACCTACAAAGATTGAATTTTTAATTAAAGGGCTGAAATCTGATTACTGACTAAATGAGGCTTCTCTATAGACAGGGAAGATATGATGTTCTGAAAACCAACCTATGCTTAGCCGAGGGAAGTCCTTCCGCCCATCTAAGTGTCCCATCACATTCTTAACTCTGCAATAGCAACATTACAAAATCATGAGACTTATAACTGATTCAGAGTCAGCAGTATCACCCTATAATAAGGATCCAACATTCGTAAGACTATTGTCAAAAAAACATTTGTAAGACTGACTGGGAGAAAGGATCGAGGTTATGGACAACATGGACTGACAAATGCTTTCAGAACTTGGTATGTACTCCATAATGTTCTGAAACATGGCAAATTATCTTTCCAAGATTCACAGATTCTAATGTTTTAGAATCTTGCACAGGATACTAAAGCACCAATGACCATATTGTAGTGAGTTTGTTCAACTGAATTAATCTCTTTAGGAGGTGTACAAGAGTCAATTTCAGAAGTGGGCAAGATTCAGAACAACAGTTGAGGAAAAGGGGGAGAAGTAAAGAACACAGATATATGCAGAGCACACAAAAGTTCAGTTATACCATCATGTCCATGATTTTTTTAAGAATGAAATCTTCATTGGTTTTAAGAGGTTCAAAAGGATGAAAAGATCTCTGTTGACTACTGATCACTATCTTTGTGAGTCCAATTAGGCCTCTTACCCATTGTGATGTCCATGTCCTCCTTTTGGCTGAAGCCTTAAGACGCCATTAGGCAAGCTCATTTCATCATAAGCCTAAGATAGCAGTTCAGAGTACCACATAAGCAGAATGAAGACTGACTTTCGATACTTTGAATTCAGTAGGTAAGGTATACATACCAATAAGATGTGGCGCAAAGGAACTTTGTAATATGCAGCCAGCGGTCCAACCTCAAATAAAAGGAATTTCCAAGTCAGACATGGAATTAATGGGGGGAAACAGGAAGAAAAACCAATTTAATCATGTAATACGTAGTAATAAGCTACAGGCTTTGCACACACATTCCAGGATGCACACATATTTGACAGGATGAAGAAAAGTTCATGAATAGATAATATATATGGTGTTTGTGTTCACTTCTAGGGATCTTCACATTCTAAGTCTTCTAACAAAGCTTTGATCAAGCCCTTACGAAGTGAACTTGATCAAATCTCTATGAAGTGAACTGGAAACTATATTGCTTTCATGTCTTCACAAACATCAAAATTTATATCACAAAAAATCACTCAAAAGCATTCCTAGAAACATAAAGTCTTCCTTACTGTTGAGAATCAAACTTCGAAATTACATACACAATTATGATATTACATAGACAACTTCACCAGGCATGGTGAATTAGGTGATTTGTCCAGGGTCCAGGGATGTACAACAACCATTCTTTTCTATTCAAATTTTATCAGGTGATGTTTTTATTTTTAAGATATTCAACTTTTTGAAATCCCATGTTCAAAGTATCAATTACATCGAAGAATAATAATGATTCATTTACACACAAAAGTGCAGACAGAATAATCATACATAGTCAAAACAAGCTCTGGAACACAACCAAGCAGCTAAAAGATTAAAGAGTGATTAAGGAGCATACCGATTCCCCACTGAAATTCATATATGCTTGAGGTTTGGCCAAGACAATAGGTACTTCCCCAATTGAACCTGCACTGATCACGCCATATGATGAAAAATTGAGAACCAAAGTAACCTTACCAAAAAAAACCAGGATTCATTCAAGGCAGCAAAATATAGCCAAAAAACACAAAACTGAAAATATGAAAGCACCTATTCCTATCAAGGCTTTTGACTGTATGGTGTTCAACACAATGCCCTCCGTCTGTGAGATCTTGTCAATCATCTCAAATCCCACCTGGTTAGAAAATAACAAAGGCGCGTTATAGCTTATGAAATCATGCTTCCTATATACTCCATATCATAAACGTAGCAGCCGGTAAAAGACTCATCGTCAATTCACTTGTCAATTAGGTTAGTCAAGTTGAGTTTGGGTCGAACACCTTTATATTAGGGTCATCAAGAAGGCATATGGCAGAAGAATTTCAGCTTTGAGTTGGAAAATGCATGATTATGATTCTATATATCAAATTATCCATTCAAAATATACCTCAGAAAATCAAAAAATCATATAGACAGCTTGAGGAGAACCATTGAGTTGCCAAATTGACATACATATCAAATTATCAACACATACAAAACAGCAAAAATGTGAATTCCAATTCAACAATTTATTAAATGTGCTATATTCAATCCTACAAAATTAATCAAACTACCTACATATATCTATCAAAAACATGATACTAAACATAGATGGAATATTGGCACAAAATATCTACTCATCAAGCTAAATATATCAAAATTGAACAAACCCACATAAAAATAGTGAGATAATCATCTATGAAATCAAATTCAAGCTACAAACTAAACCAAAAAAAATCAAAAGTCCAAAATTCAGGAGTAAAAGATAGAGAAATTACATTATGGCGAGTTCCATGGTATTTATTTCCAGGGTTACCAAGACCAACAATAAGCCAAGGGGTGTACTCCAAGCTGGTTTCTTTTGGGTCGGAAGAAGAACTAACCGCTGAAACCCGAAAACTATTCGGAGCAAACTGCTTTGCTCTCAAATGGGTTGTTTTTGGAAATGGTATTAGATTATTTGGAGCTGAAATTGCACTCAACATTGATGATTTTTTTTCTGGTTTCGCAGAAAGAAGGATGAAGGGTGGAGGAAAGATGAAATTGATTGAGACTTGAGAGTAGAAGAAACAAGGAATTGTGATGGGTTTATGGTTTTAGTATACTGTATTCGGCCTTAATACTATTCAGCACAATTCAATTCACAATTGTACCAAGATATAAAAAGGCCCAATTCAGTATAGCAAACAGCAATTTTTTTTTTTTTTTTTTTTTTTTTGGCAATGAATTTTAATTAGTACTTTGGAATTTTGTTGACTAATACGAAGTAAAAGTTTAGGTTACCAAGCTAGTGAAAGGGGACCTTCTAACCTCATAGTTGTTGGGGATTTTGTGTTTAACAAGGGTCACAAAGAAAGCAAATAAAATAAACTGGTAAAATCTTCGAGGCGTGAACGAGTTCACTTTCCCAAAAGTATAATTCCGACCCTATACTACAACCGGGTTCCTCAAAAATTTACTTAGGAGATACAACGAAGAACAATTGCAATCACAAGTAGGATGATTACAATTCAATGTATAAAAGCTTTTGGATTTATGATGATGATAAAATATTGCAATTGATTTTCTCAAGAAAGAAAAGTAAAGAAAATAACTTTTCCTCTTGAAAAAGATCCTGACACATATGTTCCTATAAACATATTTATATTAAAACAGAAATGAAACCAAAAGCCTTGAAGAAACTGCCATCAACGATAACAAATAACCGTCATTGAACAACCAGCCCACACACGCGCCCGATCGGGCTGCTGCCGCTCGATCGGGCAAATTGGAGTGACGGAAATGGGTTGCTCTCGCGCCCTATCGGGCGGTGGTGGCCCGATCGGGCGAGAAACCCAGCAATTTGCATCACCGTTCTCGCGCCCTATCGGGCGGTGGCTGCCCGATCGGGCAGCTGAGAAGGTTTTCAGATACACCCTTTTGCGCCCGGTCGGGCGACCACTACCCATACCGGGCGGCTGACCGGGCACATAGAGGGCTGCAAATCAAGCTTCTTTCGTAAGCCATCCTTCCTTCACCATTGTTCTTATTTTCTTTTGCTTTAATATTCTTATATAATTAAATTACATCACCTTTTCCTAAGTAAATTAATTATTAACTTGTCATTTTGTCTCCAATTCTCAAAATTATTCAACAATCCTCCCCCATTTTGAGAATTAAACTAGACTCATTGCAAAAACATCATCATCACAAAACAATCTTATGCATAAATGAAAGTGTACATAGACTTGAATTCCCACTTAGTGCAATATACAATTCAAGAATCCGTATCCATTTGGTATCGTAAAACGTTTGAACCAAAAGCAACACATTTGGAAACTTGAAGATATTACACACACAAGATTAATTACTTAAATACATATTAGCTTGACACTATAAGCCATGTGTCCATATCTATTCATAAGTACATCAAAGCTATGCCCCAATAGCTTCTTAAAGCGGCTAAACTTCGTACTTATATAGGTAGACTTCCAAACATGCTCCTGTGATCGAGCAGTATATCAGGAATTCTATTAAGTTAAAACAACCTCTTTTCATCACAGTAAAACCGGAACTTAACCTTGGATGAATAAACAAGTTCCCAATCACCAAATAAGAGAATTGATCTCATTGAACTTAAGACCCAACGTCTTATTGGGCGTTAAGTTGAGATTCTCCTAATTGTGATTACAATGGGGCTCCAATCTAAAATGATGCCATCCTTTTATTAACATCTCTAACCCATGCTTTTTAAACAATCGGCGAGACTAAACTTCGTACGAAAATAAACAATAGTTTTAATACTATCCTTGTTAAGTCCTTGGATGTAACTATACCTTACACCAATATACCTTAACTCACCATTTTATAATTTTACACTTGGCTATATGACTTAGCCAAATTTACATTGTTATCCCAATAATTCATCACTATTATTGGCTTTTGCAACAAAGAAATCTCATCATGCATTAAAACCCTTAACTATTCTGCTTCTTTACCAGCGGAATGTAATGCAATGACCTCCAATGTCTTATAGAACGCACAATGCAAGTTAATTAGCTTCTTTGATGCCCATTACATGACACCTCCCCCGTATGGGATTACCCATCCACTTATGAATGAACAATCTCTATTTGAGATCCAACTTGCATCCGAATATCCTTCAATAACCGAAGGAAACCCACTAAATCACAAGCCATAATCCATGATTTTCAACAAATACTACAACAAACAATAAACCGTTAGCCAACATAGCATTCTAGAATTACTAGTGAGCTTATTCAATTGACCAATCACATAAGCGATATTCGCCCACTTACATAGCTTTTGTCTGATACATGCATATATACCCTTTTGTAACCAAGAATATAAAATCATAATCACAAAGAGATTATAATTATCCATATGACTTGAATAAATTTCACAAACAATATCAACAAACACTTCATTATACTGCTATCACCATAGAGGCATAAAATTACAACAATAATTAAATTAAACATTGATTTAATCAATTACAATAATTCAATACAAAATCCTCATGTCATAGACCATGACACTCATTGCATACCTTTATTCTATTTCACCATAGAATATTCATTATTATTAATTGATCAACCATTCTTGACATATAACTCATAACCCTCAAAACCAAGGATTATATATTCATGATTAATTCACTATAACTACAACATAATTTATCATTGCAGTTTCATTATTCTATTATACCATAGAATAATAACTTGAATCAAATTAATCATCAATTTAACATATGTCATTAACTTTTATATCAAGACAACAAGGCATTAATAAACCTAATAAATATAACATATTAATCACAAGGCTATACTTGCCATGATATACAATACCATCACATCACATCACAAAGTGACATATACCTTTGTCAATAATTAAATGACTACTTGATTTAATTCATGCATGTAAACTTACAATCACAAATAAACCAAAACAAGGTCATTCAACCTTTCATGAATAAGTACCATGGAGTAACACATTATTAGACCATACATAATTCATCATACATGAGTAACCGCTATAAAAAACTGCCATGAATGAAACGATATCACTTAGGCCATACAAAGTACAAACCATCAATTGACAACCCATCACCCATGTAACAAGATGAAATAATACATACTTTGTATAACAAATAATCATGGCTATTAAACCGTTCATCTATAGCAAGAATTAACCTTCTAGCAAATATATTAACAATACCCAGAAAACATCTTAAGTATCTTATTAACAATGTAAAAATAAACAGTAATTCACACCCATTTCATGAACTATAATAATACTTAGTTCATCCATTAACAATGTTAAATTACATGGTTTTAACCAACCATCATGGTTTTTACCAACCATCATGATTTTAACCAACCATCATGATTTTTACCAATCATCTTTAATGGCATAATTACAAAACAACATATCACTAATAATAATCAATACATAATTAATAAACTTAGATTAATTAAACATGTCAAGAATTAACCATAGAGATAAATAATCAAACATATAAATATATATTAATCACAAATAAGAAACCTCTTACTTGAATGGAGTGACTTTAATCATATAACTGACTAGAGAAAACCTTCTATCAAACCTTTTTCCTTGTAATTCCACAATAAATATCACCATCTTCGTTTTCATCTCCATACCAAGATCTTCACCCTCGAACTTGTTCAATTTCTGGAAATTCGTCATCATACCCTTCACATTTGCCATCTTTGTAGAAATTATACTTTTGGATTGTTGGGCATTTTGTGTTTAACAAGGGTTACAAAGAAAGCAAATAAAATAAACTGGTAAAATCTTCGAGGCGTGAACGGGATCACTTTCCCAAAAGTATAATTCTGACCCTATACTACAACCGGGTTTCACGGAAATTTACTTAGGAGATACAACGAAAAACAATTGCAATCACAAGTAGGATGATTACAATTCAATGTATAAAAGCTTTTGGATTTATGATGATGATAAAAATATTGCAATTGATTTTCTCAAGAAAGAAAAGTAAAGAAAACAACTTTTCCTCTTGAAAAAGATCCTGACACATATGTTCCTATAAACATATTTATATTAAAACAGAAATGAAACCAAAAGCCTTGAAGAAACTGCCATCAACGATAACAAATAACCATCATTGAACAACCAACCCACACACGCGCCCGATCGGGCTGCTGCCGCTCGATCGGGCGGATTGGAGTGACGAAAATGGGTTGCTCTCGCGCCCTATCGGGCGGTGGTGGCCCGATCGGGCGAGAAACCCAGCAATTTGCATCACCGTTCTCGCGCCCTATCGGGCGGCTGAGAAGGTTTTCAGATACACCCTCTCGCGCTCGGTCGAGCGACCACCACCCATACCGGGCGGCTGATCGGGCACATAGAGGGCTGCAAATCAAGCTTCTTTCGTAAGCCATCCTTCCTTCACCATTGTTCTTATTTTCTTTTTCTTTAATATTCTTATATAATTAAATTACATCACCTTTGCCTAAGTAAATTAATTATTAACTTGTCATTTTGTCTCCAATTCTCAAAATTATTCAACAATAGTTGGGGGTTCAATCCCCATTAGAGGCGTTTTGGAGTGGAGATTCTCTTACCCTTTTCCCACCAGTGGCGGAGCCACATTAGAACAAGGGGGGACAGTTGTCCCCCCATTTTCGGAAAAAAAGTTTTTTAAAAAAAAAAAAAAAATCAAGAAAATACAGTAAAAGGCTATAAATAACATATACTTACAGTAGATATCACAATATTGAATATGGTTTGGTGGTTGAGTCCTTAGTAAGGCTGTGTTTTGGTCCTAGGTTCGATTCCCTACTCTACTGTTTTTCAGCTTTTTTGTTTTTTTTTTTCCCTACTTCTTGTTTTTTTTATTACATACTCTAATTTTCAACAACCTTTTTAATTTGATTTTTTATTTCCTATTTCTTGTTTTAGGATTTTTAATGTTATTTCTTATTTCCTACTTCTTGTTTTTAATTATCGCTTTAACTAAGTGTGCTTAAACTCAATTTTTTTTAACATTTCTAATAAATAGATTACTATTAATTAATTGTTTGTAACTGTGTTTTAACGAAATACATATTAATAATATGATTGATTTGAAAAAGTTGAGTTTATTTTTTCGAATGTAACTCAAACCCTGGCCCTTCATATCTACCATCAATTTGTTTTAACGATAATTA